ATAGAGCAGTGATTCCCAGCCAGTGATTCCCAGGGTGCTGTGCAACATTAGCACTGGTAGGTATGCCAGTGCATGGGATTCATGAGACAAATCCAGAAATTTCAAATTGGGATCCATAGTGGCAAAACCATTCTGCCCTGTTGTGGTCTTTCAGTTTTTTGCAATAAAAAAATTTGCTCACTGTTTCCATAGTTAACATTTGAGTGAAAACTAAGAGCTAGCATTTTCTGAGGGGTGCTTTGAGTCTACCGAGATTGAGAACCACTGATGCAGACTGAAGTGCTGATGTTAGAACATAACTGTCTCAAACCGTTGTGTCTGTGTTCCTAGAAGAGGAAGACTACTAGGCTTAAAGAGCTCTTCCAAAGTCAACAGCTGGCTCAATTTCTCAGCAGCTCTTATTTCCAGAAGGGGCTCTTTTATTGCTGAATAGCTAATTACAGTTTCCTGGGTTTCTGTGGGGGTGACTACTAGAGCTGGATTCTGAACTTATTTTGGTGTCAGTCTGGAATAAGGCCACTAAACTAGAAACTGCCCTGGATTTAAATCACTGTAACTTAAATTAGAAACTAGCTCTTATAGCTGTTCTTGAAAGGCCGGCAAGTTTCCTCTCCCAAAATGCAGGATGCTCGTGCTGCTAGTGTTTTGGTTTGCTTTGTCAACAATGAGCCAACTGCATAGTTAACTAGCTTTCATCCTGCTGTCTGGTAGAATCTGGCTTCCTTGTTAGCGTTGCTTCTTGCAGACTTGTGCTCACTGTGGCAAAGTTCCCCTCCTTTCTTGTGGTGTGCTGGGGCAGGGCACAGGCGGAGTCAGCCTTTCCGAAGCCACTGAATATTTTCCACTCTTGTTGCCAAGATTTCACTCCTGAGGAAGTTGTTTGGGGCACCTGGCAAACGTGGGTGATCTTCCTCCAGTTCAGGACTTTCTGGCATTGCTTTTCAGTGCACCTTCCAAGTGAAAGGTGAGAATGCAGGCTTGTATGTACCTGAGCTGGAAGCAAATCAGCTTCACAGCAGGATGTGATTCCTAAAAGATCTCCGAGTGAAAGTTGTCAAAAAGGATTCGCTTGCCTTGTTTTGGAGTAGGGAGCTCAGAAAAATAATGGCATCACGTCATGTGGTGCATAGAGAATCTCTTTGAAGAAATTTGTTGGAGTAAGTGAGAACTGAATAACCAACCATGTGGTAGGCTGCTGTTGCCATCTGTCAGGATCTTTATTCTTGGATTACCAAAGGCAATAATGTACCAACTGCCCTAGAACGATGCATCGACTTAAGCTGTATGCAAGACAGTTGAGTCAGGTGGGTAGGGACCTACCAGAATTGCGATTTTGGTGGAAACTGCGAAATCGGTAGGTCCCTGCAGAAAAACGTGGTCCCCACAGAAAAGCACAAAAAGCCAGTGAGCCTGGGGGAGAGGAGAGGAGGCAGGTAAACAGAAAAGGCAGGAAGCCCTGGTATCTTGAAGCATGGTGGGTGGAGAGAGGGAGAAGATTTTCCACAGCTGTGTGGGGGGTGGCCCATCACTCTTGGATGTGGAAAGAGCGACCGACACGA